CCACACAATCCCCATATCTACTGATTGGCTTCATCACTCTGTCTCCTCTCCACCAATAAGCTGGTGTGTGGTGGGCGTTCTGGCGCACTATGGCTGCCGTCGCATCATCCAGGTGGATGCTGCACACTGGTGGTGGATGAGGAGATACCCCCTGACAATGTAAAGCGCTTTGAGTGCTTAGAAAAGCGCTATATAAATGTAATGAATTATTATTATATTATTTTTGAAAAATTGTCTCAATTTTTAAACTTATTATTTATAATAATTTAAACTGTTATAGAAAATCAGCTATTTTATTTTAACAATACAAATATTGTTTTATTTACCTTTTTAGTTTTTTTGTAATATTACTTTTCTCTCAGCACCTACACATTAGAAATGTACAAAATTCTATACAAAAATTAAATAGTACATATTTTGTGGTAGATAAAAACATACTTGCGTTCTTTATACATTTATTTTCTTATTGTGCATGATTATTCACAAGTTTTATTTCAACAGAATTTTCCTTAAAGGGGTTTTTGGAAGGCCAAGCAAAGTAGTTTCGCTTTCACAACGAAACACGGTGCCTTCACGACATGGTGGCGGCAAAAACAATACTACAGTGAGAATAAAAGTTACGCCTTCTTTCTTTGCGTGAACATTTGGGCGGTGTTATGCAAATCTTCCCAGATAGTGATGTAGATATGTGGGGGTGTGTTAGAACGAGCCGTTTTAGGTAGGTGTGGCTGACTCTTAACTTTTATAAAGAATATCTCTTTGGATTTGAGACTTTAGTCTTTGCAACTTTACAGATCTTCTTTATGCACCAAGAGCTTGTAACACTCCAAAGAGAAAGGAAAAATTGAAATCGCATCATATGACCCCTTTAAAAATGTAGCTGCTTTGCCCCTGAAATTTTTTTTTACGTGTTTAACCCCAACATTGGTGGTTACCCATACGCCGTGCTTATTTTGACATATAAGTGTCATCATCTTATTGTCACACAAAAATGATAGATGCCAAAATATTCTTTCTCAGATCTTGTGGAAAGTACTCATTATTCTTTCCCAGGATGACAATCCAGGCCATTTGCCTGACAGGACAAATAAGCAGCAGCATGTGTCTGTGTCTCACTGGAATATTTCCAACCTGGCAATATGTTTCTACTCAGTTGATCTTTTATCTTAGGTAATTTTGATGGAAAGAAGAACATAAAGGAAAGGAGGAAGAGAGCAGACTGAGGATCTGTGCAGACTTTTCTTTCAACCCAACCCTAACCTGCATGTATATATGCTGGCTCGCACACACTTCCACACTCACATGCTAAGGAATCTTGGCCCCCGGTTATAGAGCAGATAGTTAAAAGGTCTGTCACACCGAGAAAGCCAACAACAGACCAAAACGGTGTTAGTGAGAGAAAAAAAAGAAAAGTCAGACTTGTTTGTGGTATGAGCCATGCTATAAAACAAAGTCGTAGCCATAACAAACAAACAGTAATAGGTCTGTGTTTCTCATGTAGAGCATGTTACCAATCTGAGTCTGGCAGTACTCCTGCGTACTCTAAACTTGCATCAAGACAGGGATACAAAAGGCAGTAACGTACATATGGGAATCCTCACTTTGAATTCTGACATTTTCAAAAGTAAAGCAAGTACACAATGTGCCCAGGCAGCAAATGAAAGCAGGTCTTAGCTTGTTTGCCATTGATCATTAGTACGCAAGAGGGTGGAGAGAATTGGCCTGTCTACATTGGTAAACTTGAAGAATATGTGAAACGTCATGTTCTGAGAACTGGAAAAGTCATGGAAAGCTTTTGAAGTTTTTGGTGAGAAATTGCTTTTTATTGAGTGCCATGATTAAAAATGTAAAAAAAAAAAAAACCGAAAAGAAATATCTTAAAAAACGTAAATAGTTGAAAGCAAAAATTAAGTAAAATTGAGTAAAAAACAAACACTACAAACTAAATATCATTTATATGACACAAGGGAATTTAGTCATTCAAACATTTTAAAGTACAACATGAAGAGCAGATTTGTTTGTAAAAAATTAGACAAAAAGTGCACACATCCAACAGGCAAAAAAATAAATAAATAAAAAGGAAAACGCTGACACACCAATATGGAAGCCCGTTTCTGCCACTGAATAAAGTTTTTATTTCACAATTCTGACTTTTTTCTCGCAATTCTGCGATTGTGTGATATAAACTAAAAGTTGCTAGTTATAAAGTCAGAATAGCAGTATATAAACTCGCAATTGCAAGAAATAAAGTCAGAATAATAGTTAGATAAAATAGATAAAAACTCGCAAAAAATGCAAGTTTGTATCTCACAATTCTGCCTTTTTTCTCGCAATTCCGAGTTTATATCTTGCAAATCTGACTTTTTCTCAGAATTGTCAGATATAAACTCTCAATTGCGAGTTATAAAGTCCAATTCTGAGGGGGGGAAAAGACTCAGAATTACAAGTTTATATCTCACAGTTCTTACTTAATAACATCGGAATTGTGTGTTATAAAGTCAGAATTGCTAGACATAAACGCGCAATTCCGTGAAAAGATGTCACAATTGTGAGTTTTTATTTTGCAATTCTGACTTAATTTCTCTGAATTGCGAGTTTGTATCACGTGGCGCAAACGGGCTTCCACACAAAAACTCATAAATAGACTATTTTTTTATTGCAATTTCTCAACAACAGTGATGATTCAAGCTATATGGCTCTTCATCAGACCACTCAATACTTTTTTTATGCATTTGGCAGATGCACAGTGACTTGCACTGCATTCAAACTACACATATTTTAAATTCACACATTGCCGTTGCTAGCACCATACTTTACTGTTTGAGCTACAGGAAGGCAAAGGTCATGTACACATAGGCAGAAATTAATTAAATATCCAATATCGACCAACACTCTAAAATTAAAAACCCAATATGGTACAGATAAATTCTGCATTCTTAATGAATCCTTTTCCAGTATGTGTGAGCAATGGTAGTAGTAATAGCGATGTTCGCTAATGCACTAATGAGAAACATGTCTATTGGTCGTGAGAAGCAATTACATTTTAATAGATTAACTTGTGAGTCAGAGGCTTTGGAACGCGAAATCCACTTGATTCTTGTTAAGACCCTGGCACAGATGTACAGTGATGCGTTTAACAGTAGAGCCTGCAGAAAAGTGCCTCTTATTAGCTGATAATGTCATGGACCGCAGCAGTGTGGCTGGCATCCTGTTTTATGTGGCTGGAAAAGGCGCTGTGATTTCATGCGTGTTTATATTGGTTGTTTGGCTCGAGAAGAGGTTTCTGCCGCTGTATGTGAAGGGTTGAGTGTTCCCTCTGCACCACACGTCTATGCTTTTTGCATGTGTTTGCTGACTGTTCTGTCTGCCAAACGCATTGGCATTTATTGACGGTTTTCCTCTCCCAGTGTCGTGTATCCATTTCTGTTCTTTTTATGTCTGTGTCTCAATGATAAGGCGTGTCTGTGTGTTTGATGGAAGAATGCAGACAGACGAAACACTGACTCCACTCTCTGCCCACGTAGTTGGCAGCTGTCACTTTGTCTCTGGATTGAACCTGCAGTGTTGTTAGGGCTTCCAAGCCAGTCCTCAGGTTGGCAGGCGCACATCGTAGCAGTGTAAACTTTGCCTTGAAAGATGAAGTCACAGAACAGACTCTAACTGTGCGAGATTTGCTCAAGCTCCCTGGTGTGGCAGGAAAAACTGTCTGCTCACAAACTGGGTTAATGATTAGAGTTCAGTCAACCTGGGTAATAGGTAACTAGATGGCTCCTATTTCAAATGGCTCTCAATTCTGGACTTCTCTGCTAAGTAGTCAATTAATAGATCCTTCCACCCAAAGTGACTTACAGTATACTTTGCTCGAGGACACAAAGCATCACTACCTTTGACTAGATTGCATAACATCACATTTCATTAAAAAAATATATATACATGGCATAATGCAGAGAGATCTTTTAAATTTTATCAAATGCAAAGTTTTAATACTTTTTTATGGGGTGTAGATATTGCAATAAGTTAATTAATCTTATAATTTGTCTAAAATTATTTTTTTTTGTTATTTTAAATCTTTTTTTATTAATTATGTTTCTAAGTTAAATAAAATGTTATGACTTTATTTACATGTTTTTTTATAAATGTTCCCTGTAGTACTATATCGTTTAGCTAATTGAATTTGATCAACATGATGATAATAATAATAATATATTGTAATTATTTTTATAAATTGTTAATTAGTCTTATAATAATTTTTTAATAAAAAAAGACTATTATTTTAATAAATTATTTTTAAATTAATTTAAAAATTTGTAAATCAAATAAATAAAATGTTATGAATTTATTTACTTACATTTTCAAATGTTCCCAGTGATCACATTTAGTCAAATTAGATTTAGTTTAGAATTAGTTGTTTATTATTTTAATACATTTATTGTAATTTCATAACATTTAGTTTATTTTATTTATTTACTTTTTTATTAATTTACCTACGTTTATAAATGTTCCCAGTAATACTACATTGTTTAGCTAATTTGAATTTGATCATTCATTAAATACAAAATATCAGCAAAATGCCCTCAGCCAATAAATTGCTGTCAGGTCAACTAAAGATTTCTTGTTTAACAAATGATCAATTAGCAACACAACAAATATTGATTTCTCATCATTTCTGTCTTACACAGTTAGTATGAGGTCAACTCTGAAGTGTTTGCCTCTGAAGAAAACCAACTTGTAAAGCCAAATATGGCATTGTTTGTTCAGACAACTCTTTTAGGATAATTGAGACAACATTTGGGGGAATGTTGTTTGTCTAAACATGAGCTTTTATATAGATTTATAGTCAATTCAAATTTCTTGGCATCTGAATTTCCTGTATGCAGAATGATCTATTACTTGAGTTGTACGGTGCATTGGGTCATAAGTATGTAAATAAGTTGTTTTGATATGCATTTGCCCTGTGCTGTGCAGAGGTAAATGTTGACATCCTTCTGCTTTCTCTCCAGCTTTTGGCCCAGACCCCACAAATAACCAGGTGGTGTTGGTGATCCTGGTCAGTTTGTTGCCCCTCCTGGTTCTGACTGTGCTGGTCATCGCCTCCTTCTACTGGTACCGCATGTACCGTCGCCGCAAACTCAATGAGTGGGAGACCAAGAAGCCATCCAAACGCAAGGGCCCCAAAGGCCCGCTGGACTGTAGCGACGCCTGTGCCATCATGATGGACGACGACCGCTCCGACAGCAGCTCCACGCACGCCAACAACCTCAACCACAACACAGAACCTCTGCCTATCGAGCTGGACCTTCAGGTGGGCAAGGGCCGCTTCGCCGAGGTGTTCAAAGCCAAGCTGAGACAAAGCCCCTCGGAACAGTTCGAGACGGTGGCGGTGAAGATCTTCCCCTACGAAGAGTACGCTTCCTGGAAGAACGAAAAGGACATTTTCTCGGACATCGATCTGAAGCACGAGAACATCCTACACTTCCTGACGGCTGAGGAGAGGAAGGTGGAGAAACAGTACTGGCTGATCACCGCCTATCATCCACGCGGGAACCTGCAGGAGTACCTCACTCGACACCTCATCAGCTGGGAGGACCTGCGGCTGCTCGGGGGCTCGCTGGCCCAGGGTGTGGCTCATTTGCATAGTGACCACACCCCTTGCGGGCGGCCCAAAGTGCCCATCGTCCACCGAGATCTGAAGAGCTCGAACATCCTGGTGAAAAATGACCTCACTTGTTGCCTCTGTGACTTTGGACTTGGCCTCCGCCTTGACAACTCTCTGTCAGTGGATGACTTGGCCAACAGTGGACAGGTGGGTCATGCAACAATATTTCATCTTCATAGGTGCATTTAGACTGTCTGTCTTTATACAGCTAACAGACAGCTCATACATTATCGATCAAACACCCTTTTTTATGTTTCTGAAAGAATTCCCTCACTAAGGCTGCATTTATTTGATGATAAATACAGTAAAAATAGCAATATTGTGAAATATTATTACAAATTCAAAATAACTGTTTTCTGTTTGAATATATTTTAAAATGTAATTTATTCCTGTTGAATTTTCAGTAGCCATTACTCAAAAACATTAAAAAATTAAATTATTCCAAAAATTATTTTGACCAGAAGTGTAAATGCATGTATAGAATACAAATTAATTTTCTTCAGATTTAATGTAAATGCGCTAGCATGCAATAGAGTGCATCACTCAGATTTCTTAAAGTCAGATATTTTCTCTCTACTGAGAAATCAATTGATTTGTATAATTTATTTCAAGACTTTTCTACCCTGAAGTTCATTTTAACTTAAGATCCACCAATCAGCAAACACATCAGAATGAAAGAGATCAGCATGAAACATTGTGAATGATTTAATTAATATTAAATCTCTTCTTATATATATATATACTACCGTTCAAAAGTTTGGGATCAGTACGATTTTTAATATTTTTTTATCGAAGTTTCTTGTGCTCATGAAGGCTGTATTTATTTGATCA